AAAAAATAATAATTTATGCACAATTTAGATCATCGTGGAGTCAAGGATTCCGAGTTCACTACGAATGCGGAAGAACGACTCTTTCTCTAAAGGTTTTGTGAAAATGTCGGCTAATTGGTTGTGTGTTTCAACGAACTCAATTTCGACATCACCTTTGAGAACATGATCTCTAATGAAATGATGCCTAATGTCAATATGTTTCGTCCTTGAGTGAAGAACCGGATTCTTCGTCAAGCTTATGGCACTAGTATTATCACATCGAAGAGGGACGTGATCGATACTAAGGCCATAATCCACAAGTTGTTGCTTCATCCAAAGGATTTGAGCACAACAACTACCGGCGGCAACATATTCCGCTTCGGTTGTGGATAACGCAACACTGACTTTGATGGGGAATAACCCCACGCAGGGCTGACATCGGGCTTGGACGTTCCGGCCCGACCCAGAGCTCCACTCGTCCTGCTGCCCGGCTCTACGCTCCGCTCGTCCCTCCTGCTCGGCTCAGAGCTCCACTTGTCCTGCTGCCCGGCTCTGCGCTCCGCTCGTCCTCCTGCTCGGCTCAGAGCTCCACTCGTCCTCCTGCTCGGCTCAGAGCTCCACTCGTCCTGCTGCCCGGCTCTGCGCTCCGCTCGTCCCTCCTGCTCGGCTCGGCCAGCCAAGCCGAGCCCGAACCCTGCGACAACGACGTGCGGAAAGCGACGTTCAACAAAGACTTGGTGAAAGCGATAGGATGAAAGGGACAAGACCTAAGGACAGGTGACGTCCGCTAAACGACGAGCCTCGATTAGAGGGCTTTGACTTAGTGAACTGTACCGCCTATAAAAGGGGTGGCACCCCTCATTGTAATGGATCCCCAGTTTGAAATAAATCTACTCCTACTTTGCATTCTCTCTCTCTCTAAAACTTCTATTATTTCATACTCTCGGTGGTTTATAGCTATCAAATTGGTGCTTTCATTGAGAGCAGAGGAACATACTCGTAGGTTAACTCCCGAACGCGAGAATGGTGCAAACAAGGAGCAACGTCCCCACCACCAGCCACGTCGTTGGCGAGGAGAACGCGTCGGGCAGCGACAATGGTACGGGCGGCATTGGTTCGACTCCGGACGCGGTCCAGGCGCTGTTCGGCTTGGGGGTGACCGCGGAGCAGCTCTAGGCAGCCGTTGCGGCACTTTCCGCCATGGGTGGGAACGTGCCCGGCGCCGGAGTTGGCAAAGCTCCGCCCAATCTCCATGGCGAACACGCTGCCACTTCCCAACACAAGGGGAAGAAGACCCGGAGGAGTAGAAGGAGGCCCGGCAAGGCCCCGGCAATCGAGGAGGTGATTGTGGAGGACGTCCCGGATGAGGAGGACGATGAGTCCAGCGAGTGCCAAGTGTCAACCTTCAGGCGCTTAGGAGGGGAAGAGACCCGGGTGTCGGCCTTCAACAGGCTCGACCGCGGACCTGAAGTTTGCCCGGGCGACCTCCGCCGACAAATAGCCAAAGGCAAGCGGAGGCATGCTGAGGAGTCTGCAACATCGGATGCTCGCTCGGCGAGGTCCGAGCGGAGCGGAGAGAGGCGGGAGGAGCGCACCCAGCGTCGCCATAGCCCGACGAGAACTGAGAAGACAAAGGTCTCTGACCAAGGAGTGTCTCGGCTCGCACGTGAGGTTGCCGAGCTTAAGCGCCGAGTGGAGACCAGGGCTCCCTACAGCCAACCCATCTTGCGGACGGTAACCCCGTTCACTCCGAGGGTTATGTCGGTCCCGCTGCCGGCAATCTTCCGGCCGTGGCAGATCAAGGCCTACAATGGAACGACGGACCCCCAAGATCATTTTTCTAAGTTCTATGCTTCTATTGAAGCGGCGGCTGCCCCGGACGAGGTCTAGTGTCGATGCTTTCTCGCGACGCTGGAGGGCTCTGCGTGCGATTGGTTCAACCGGCTCCCGAAGGGAACTATTGACGATTGGGATACACTGGCGGAGAGGTTCTTGACGCATTTCGCGGCAAACCGAAGGCAGAGGCTCCCTTACTCCCACCTGCTCAACATATGCATCCGCAAGGGAGAGAAGGTCCGCGACTTCATAGTCCGGTGGGAACAGGAAGCCAGAGACGTGCATGGGGCGGATGACCAAGCGTTGGTGGCCATGTTCCAAGCAGCCCTTCCCCGCGGAGAAGTGAGGAAGGAGCTCCGCAAGAATCCTCCCCCCACGTACCAAGAGACCTTGGCGCGCGCTAAGTTCCTAGCCTCGGAGGAGTTCGATGATGTTCCCGACTCTGAGCCCGCGCCCGCCAAGCGAGCTCCTGCAGACTCCAGAGAGGCCGCGAAGAAGAGAAAGAAGAAGAAAGATTACACCGCGGGCCCGAGGACGCCTTCGGCTGGTGTGTACTCCGTGGGTGCGCCCGTGGGGACGGGTCGAGAGCTTGCCCTCTTCTCGCTCCCGCATGTAGAAACCTATGCGGTGTCCAGCGGTGCCAGGTATTGCGAGTATCATCGCAACAACACTCATAACACTAAGGAATGCTTCACTCTCTAGAAGGAGATGCAGAGACTCATCGCCCGAGGGCCGCCTCCCCGAGATGATGGAGCAGCCCCATCTCGGGGGCCGCCGGAAGGAAGAACTTGGAGAAATCCGGCCGAACCGGTCGCGGTGGCCACGCAGGCAAGGAACCCCGAGAAGAGGCACATTGGGCGAGAGTGTGATGATCTAGACGAGGACGAAGCCCAAGGATATCTGATGGGATTCTTCCATGGAGGAAACATTGGCGGGGACTCCGTCGCTCAAAGGAAGAGGTGGAAGCACATGGCCTTCGTCGCCAAAGTCCATCAGGCGCCGGCGCCCAAGAACGGAAGACGTGAGCAAATCCAATTCACGGAGAAGGATCTTCCGAACACGCCGAGCCCCCACCGGGATGCCTTGGTCGTGAAGCTGGAGATTAACAATGCCATAGTGCACCGCACCTTGGTGGACACGGGAAGCTCGGTCAACATAATGTATGAGAAGACCTTCCAAGACCTCGTCTTGGACCGCAAGGACTTAAGGCCTGTGTGCACTCCACTCTCCGGGTTCACGGGGGACTCCATCGAGGCCGAAGGAGTCATCGCCGTGCCCGTGATAGTAGGGGATGGTGCGCACAAGGCCAAGCTGAAGATGGAGTTCATGGTTGTAAGCATCAACTGCGCGCACAACATGATCCTAGGACGGCCCGGCCTTGAGGACTTGGAATGTGTGATCTCCCCATACTACTTGTGCATGAAGTTTCCCACTCCTTCGGGAATCGGGGTGGCGAGGGGAGACCAAAAGTTAGCTCGATCGTGCTACGTCCGTATCACGAAGAAATTGCCAAGGGATGAGACGTTGGTCGTGCACGCACAAGAGGAAAGGCGGAAGCTGGGAGCACGACCCAAGGCCGAGCCCGCCGAGGAGGTCGAGGAAGTGTCGCTCGACCCTCAGACACCCGAGCAGAAGGTGAAGGTCGGGGCGAGCCTAACTGGGAGCCAGCGGAAGCGCTTGGTGGGCGTGCTCTCTGCCTACCGCATGATCTTTGCGTGGGGCCCCGAGGATATGCCGGGGTGGATCCCAAGGTCATATGTCACCGCTTGGCAGTCAATCCGGAGGCTAGGCCGGTGAAGCAGAAGAAGCGGTTCCTCTAGTCCGAGCGAAGGGAGTTTGTCTCCAAGGAAGTGGCCACCCTCCAAAGCATTGGGCATATCAGAGAGGTCAGGTACCCGGAGTGGATGGCCAACGTGGTGTTGGCTCCAAAGGGAAACACGTGGAGGATGTGCGTGGACTACACCGATCTAAACAAGGCGTGCCCCATGGATCCGTTCCCACTCCCGAACATCGACCAGCTGGTGGACGAGACGGCGGGCTACGAGCTCATGAGTTTCATGGATGCTTTCAGCGGGTACCATCAAATCCGAATGCACCCTGAGGACGAAGAGAAGACGTCTTTCACTACCCCCGGCGGAGTATATTGTTACAAGGTGATGCCTTTTAGACTCAAGAACGCCGGGGCAACCTACGCTAGGATGGTGAGCAAGCTCTTCGCGCCCGTCCTCGGGAAGAGCATGGAAGCGTACGTCGTCGACAACCCTCGGCTGAACCCGAAGAAGTGCATGTTCGGAGTTCAAGGCGGCAAATTCTTGGGACACATGGTGAGCAGGCGCGGTATTGAGCCCAACCCCGAGAAGGTGCGCGCCATCCTTGACATGGAGGCTCCACGAAATGTCAAGGAGGTGCAGCGCTTGACCGGAAAGTTGGCTGCGCTCAGCCGATTCCTTTCTAAGGTAGCGGATCAGGCCGCTCCGTTCTTCCAAACTGTGAAGAAGTCCTGAGGGTTCATGTGGACGGAAGAATGCCAGCAATCCATTGAATCTCTCAAGTCCTACCTCCTCTCCCCTCCGGTTCTCGCGAAGCCCGAAGCGGGGGAGACGTTGTACTTATACTTGGGAGTTTCACCCAAGGCTTTGAGCTCGGTCCTAGTCCGAGACGGAGGTGGTGCTCAGCCCCCGATATATTACATGGCGAAGACGCTGAGAGGTGCCGAGCTCAGGTACTCAGTAGCCGAAAAGACGGTCCTGGCCGTGGTTTCGACTGTGCAGCGGCTAACACCCTACTTCCAAGCTCACCCGGTTCAGGTGCTCTCCCAACAACCCATAGGAGCGCTGCTCAGGAGCCCGAACGCGCCCTCGCGCATGTCCAAACGGGCGGTGTTCCTTGGAGCTTTCCAGATCAAATTCAAGCCAAGGCCAGCGATCAAGGGCCAAGCGCTAGCTGACTTCGTGGTGGAGTGCACCGCTCGGGAGGAGCCGAGCCTCGAAGAGCCGGAAGCCGATGACTGGTGGATAGTTTTTACCGACGGCTCCTCCGCCGCCAAAAACTCGGGGGGTGGAGTGGTAGTCATTGCGCCCGAAGGCTTCAGAGTGTATTACTCAATTCGATTAAGTTTCAAGGCATCAAATAATGAAGCGGAATATGAAGCGCTCTTGTGCGGGCTACGCCTAGCAGCCGGGATGAACGCAACAAAGCTAAGGGTAAAGTGTGATTCAAAGCTGGTGGTTGGCCACGTCTCGGGAGAGTTCGAGGCGAAGGACGAAAGAATGAAGAAGTACAGAGATACCGCTCTAGAGTTACTTAAGAGTTTCACCGCGTATAGTGTGGAGCAGATCCCTCGGGCGGAGAATGCCGAGGCATATATCTTGTCGAAGCTGAGCTCGGACATGCCCGAGCACATCAGGCGGATGGCGAACGTGGAAGAGTTGTCCGAGCCGAGCATCCATGCCTTCCCCGTGGCGATGATCTGTGCTCGGCCAAGAGATTGGATGGACGACATAGTTGCTTTCTTGAAGGATGGCGCCCTCCCGGACGATGCAATAAAGGCCAAGTTGGTCCGGACAAGGGCACCTGGGTACACTTTGGAGGGTGAAAAGCTATACAAGCGAGCATACAATGGTACGCTGCTCAGGTGCCTCCGACCAGCTGAAGCGGAGCAGGTCATGGAGGAGGTGCACGCGGGGATCTGCTCCGCCCACCAAGGAGCCTACGCGGTGTCAAGGAAGATAACCCTCCAAGGATATTTTTGGCCAACAATTGTTAAGGATTGCGCGGAGTTTGTGAGAAAGTGCAAGGTGTGCCAAGAGTTCCAGAAGGTACCAGGGAGGCCTTCAACAAACTATACCCCCATCAGCACAGCTATCCCGTTCGCGCGGTGGGGGGTGGACCTCGTGGGTGCGCTTCCTAGAGGTACCGGGAACGTGCGCTACGTCATTGTAGCCATTGACTACTTCACCAAGTGGGTGGAGGCGGCCCCATTGGCAAGCATCACTGGAGCTCAATGCCAGAAGTTTCTCGCAAAGCAAGTCATCTGCCGCTTCGGCGTTCCCGAGCACGTAATCACAGACAATGGAACACAATTCGAGTCCAAGCCCTTTAATGACTTTCTCGAGAGTTGGGGGATCAAGCACAGTTATGCGTCGGTTGGGTACCCGCAGACAAACGGGCAGGTCGAGAACGCCAACCGAACGATAGTCGATGGGCTGAAGCGAAAGTTGGAAGCTTGTGGAGGGGAGTGGGCAGAGGAGTTGCCCTATATCTTATGGACCTACCGGACCACGCCCCGAAGGGCAACTGGGGAAACTCCTTTCGCTCTATGCTACGGATTCGAGGCAAGGGCACCCACAAAGATCTCCATCGCAACCCACCGGGAAGAGGTCTTTGACCCCGAGCGCAATGAGGAAGCCCTGGCAGCCGAGCTCCACCTCGTACATGAAAAACGAGAAGCGGCCTTCATACGGGTGGAGAATTACCGAAGGAAGGTGAAGAGCTACCATGATGGGCGCGTGCGCGCGCGGGGGTTCGTTGAAGGAGATTGGGTGCTGCGCAAGAGGGCAGTGAGTCGCCCCCTAGAAGGAGGAAAGTTCGCCAAAAATTACGAAGGCCCATACATCATCAAAGAAGTGGTGGGACCTTCAACATTCCGCCTGCAGACGCCGAGCGGAGGGGACGTGCCCAGAACGTGGAATGCCGAGAACTTAGTTAAGTTTCATCAGTAGACTTCTGATGTACACGGACCCCAAAATGGGAACCCGCAGATCTTTTCGGTTGAGCTCAATGGAAGTTTTTTTTTTTGCGAAAAGAGCTTGCTTGAACACGCGTGCTCGGCGCTCCTCCTCAGGAGGAAGGTCGAGCGCAGACCATACCCGGATGTTCTTCCCGGATGAGGGTCAAACACTCGTGCTCGGCGCTCCCCCTTAGGAGGAAGGCCGAGCGCAGACCATACCCGGATGTTCTTCCCGGATGAAGGTCAAACACTCGTCCTCGGCCCTCCTCCTCAGGAGGAAGACCGAGCGCAGACCATACCCGGATGTTCTTCCCGGATGGAGGTCAAACACTCGTGCTCGGCGCTCCCCCTCAGGAGGAAGGCCGAGCGCAGACCATACCCGGATGTTCTTCCCGGATGAAGGTCAAACACTCGTGCTCGGTCTTCCTCCTAGCGCAGACCCTACCTGGATGTTCTTCCCAGATGGAGGTCAAACACTCGTGCTCGGCGCTCCTCCTCCTCAGGAGGAAGGCCGAGCACAGACCATAACCGGATGTTCTTCCCGGACGAAGGTCAAACATCCGCACTCGACGCTCCTCCCTGGGAGGGAAGCCGAGCGCAGGCCATACCCGGATGGAGGTCAAACGTTCACGCTCAAAATAATGACTAAAAAACAAGACATAAAATCAGAGTCATATCTTATTCATCCCGGAAAAAGAAGCTAGTACACGGCGCGAATGCCTTAGAATGAACCGGTGGGCAAAGGCACCAAGACCAAGGTGTTTGGGCAGAGCACTACGCGGATAAGGCGAACCTGCGCTCGTCCTCGGTTAGGCGACGAGGCGAGGCTAGCACGTCTATGATTGGGCGAGCGCAAGCGTGAGCACGGCTCCGCATTAGCGAGCCCAAACATTCCACCAAACGGCCGTTCCGATTCCAAAACTTATTCAAGAAAATGCGACTCAGAATCAAAGAAAGGCGATAAAGGCATCGCAAACCACGAAGAGTCAAGGGTAATAGTTACGCAGTGCAAAATACATTGTTCGAGCAC